ATCAGAGGCAGAGCCGCCAGCGCCCATATGTGTTGCGTGGCTACGGCGAGCAATGCGAGAAGCTTTGCGCTTGCGAGACTCGACTAGCAGGTGGTATATACAAACCATAGGCGTCATAGCCATGTCGCTGCGCGCCAGTGCTGCCACCACGTCCTCAACGCGGAACTTGTACACAGGCATCTTCTGCAAGAGCTGTTCGTCGGGCTGGAGCACCACAGCTGGGCGCGGTGGCAGATGGTTGTTTACAGGCTGGTCAAAGTCGCGGCGAAGCCATGGGTGCTCGACAATGCCCTTCATTGAGATGCGCTTGCGCGGGTCGACTGTTAGAATCTGCTGCAACAAGTGCCCTGCATCCTTGCTGAGAACTGTTGGCAGCGAAAACTTGCCACGCGATATCTTGTCGTATATGACCTTGATAGACTCGCCTTCAAAAGGAGTGCGCCCGCACAGCATAAAAAATAGAATCACACCCATGCTCCACACATCTACTTCGGGTCCAGTGTACTTTATCCCGTTTACCATCTCAGGCGCTGCGTAGAATGGCGACCCGCAAAATGTGTCCAGCTGCTTGTCCCACTCAAACGTGTTTGCAAACCCATAGTCTATGATGCGAATGCGGCCTTCGTGGTCCAGCATGATGTTCTCCATCTTCAGGTCGCGATGGATAATGCAATTGCGATGCGTGTAGTCCATCGCACTGACTATCTGTCGGAACAGCCCGCGAGCCTCGCTCTCGTGCAGCCGCCCCCGCTTGCGAATGTGGTGCAGCAGCTCTCCGCCGCTGTTGTGCTCCATCACAATCATAGTAAACTTTGGATTCTGCACCACGTCGTATATCCGCACAATGTTTGGGTGGTACAGCAGCGATAGCAGCTTGATTTCGCGCTCCACTCGCAGGTTGTGCTTGTCCGTGCTGCCGCCCTGTGGCGACTTTGCCTTGATAAACTTGAGCGCAAACTTTTGTTTGGTTGCCCGGTGCTCGGCCAGACACACTTTGCTGAATGTGCCTTTGCCCAGCGCCTGCTTAATAATAAAGTCGCCAATGTGTTGCTCGCGCCGCCCTGGATGGCGGCTGTTAATGTCGCGCTTTGGCTTGCTTTGTGCTGACGGAATAGCCGCCTGCTGGTGTGTCCCGTGGCTACCCGTGGCTGCCGGTGGCTGCGGTTGCGGCGGAAGCCATCCCTTCTGGTGTGCACCGTTGCCAGACGCGTACGCTGACATCGGCCGATTGCCTGCACTGCGTGCTGCTTGATATGGATCGGCCGAACCTCCCGTCGTGTCGCCAATGTATGCGCCAAGCTGGGTTGGTGCTAATGAGCGCCGTCTCTGCATGTGCTCCGCCACAGCGAGCTCTGGCGGGTCCGTGCTGGGGTACTAGGCTTGGTATATGCAAAACAGAAGCAAAACTTGAGCGCAAATACAAAATGATAACGCGTGGGCAAATAGCAAAAATGTGTTCTGGCAGCGGTGAATGGAACAGAGATGAAAAGAGAGACTGCCCGCACAAGCGCCGTTAGCTTTCTTGTATGCGCGTCAAGAGCAATTAATTGTGCAGTGTGAGAATGCCCGTTAGGCATATATAAATACTTCCTGGCACAAAAGTCGTGCAGCCGGCAGCTGTACAAGGTTTTTTGGGGTGAGGACCCGTGCGAGTGCCAAGTGTGCTTCGCCGCTCTGTTGCGGCTCACTTTGCGACACGTAAACTGCAGCGATTGCAAAAGACTGTTGTACCCAGCACTGCGAAAATAGTGCAATTGACTTACATTAGAGGTTTGGCGGACAGCGGTGGTCATTCTCGAAGCTAGGCGCGTGCTGTAACAGCGTAAAGGTACAATAAAATCACAAGGCAGATATGCGAGCTTACAAGCTATAGAAACGAGAAACGCATATAGCTAGTCTGAAATAGCGCGGTTTCAAAAAAGACGCTTCCCCGTCCACTTCCCAAGCAAAATTCCCAGGCAGTAACAGTATTGTGAATATACCTGCACTGGCTGACAACTGAGGCGGTAATAAAAAATGGCAGTCCAAAAGCGTCCAAAAATAATGGAGAGAAAAGAACAACAATAAGAACCTGGCCGGATTTGCGGTCCGAAGCTGGAAAGAAAAGAAGAGAAAGACCCAAACGAGATTGAAACGCCTGTTTCTGCAAATCAATCCACTCAGGTCAGGGACCGGGTTTACTCGAGTCGATTGATGCGTGTGAACTGAGCCGCGGTGCCAACCTGTGTTGCTGCGAAAATGAACTTGTTACTTCTTTTGTCGAGCGCGTTGGGCTCTCCCTTTTATACAAACGCCAACTCCCTCCCTTCCTTTCTTCGCGTTCATCATACTGCGCTGGCCGCTGGTTACGGCAATTAAACACTGCTCAAAGATAAATGTGCGCTTTCCAACAATAAACAAATCCGTGCCCCTTATGCATTTTGTTCACATCTGCACCATGCTCTGTCTGCGAAGCCTTGGGTTTATTGGTACTCTTCTGCACAATGCCGACTGCCGGCACTCGGCTTTGGAGCGTGCAATTTATGTGTACCCCATCCGCCCATGCTGGTCAGCAGATGCAGTTGTTTACCGCGTTCACTGTATCCCATCTCGCTATTTTTGAAGCGCTGCATTCAAAATACATGCATATATAAAAATTGACTCCAAATGTCTGTGCGCTGATGGCAGGGGTTGCGTTTGCCGCACTTTGACTTATTTGATACCAAGTATCTTTGGCATTAATTGCGGCTTCAATATGTTGGTCGGCAATAAAGCATTCACTCATCATTTCTGCACAAAAAGCAATGAATAAGTATTGTGCAATATTCAGATTCGACCTTTATGACACTGGATAAATAGACAAGCGAGTTCAAACTTTGCATTCAACATGAAGCAACAAGTAGTAGTGACGTAGTTTATACATGTATAGAGCACATCTACATGTTTTATCGTGAATATTGTTACAATTGTTATAGACAGATGGTTTTATACATGAGCCAATAATAGTAAGAAAACAATAGTAAGAAGAGGAATGCAAGTTTGGCAATTTGTCAAACTTTTGTTTCCAAAAACTCTCAGCAGTCTTGTGATCAAATCCACAACAAACCTATATTGCACGCATATAAAAGAATGTATCTGGGGGATCTCTTGGTTTAGCCAAACGTAAAGAAATACTTGACAGATGAGGATAAATATGCATAGATGATTCAATAAAGGAATTAACTGATGTATCAGTTAATTGTGGTGCATAAAACATTTTGAGTGCAGGTAATCTTTGCAACAAATATTTTACAACCATTGCCGTATGCATAGAAGGCCATCTATGTGGATCATAGTTCAAAACAAGTTTCTCTAAGCTTGAATTATCCGGCTTTACAGTTTTTGTATAATTACCAGCCTCATCATTGGCGATTACAGACAGAGTGTCATCTAAAGTCAATCTAAATAATGTTAAATACTTTAGTCCTGGTATATTGTTGAGTAGCCCTAGCACTGTGGTTACATTAGTAGGCGCTGCAATCAACACATTAGTCAAAAAATAATAATCGAAAATATCAGATGATATAGGTGTATTTACATCTACTACTTCTAGTTCAATATTTTGTCTTTCCTGTGTTGTACCAAATAAATTTCTGATAGATGACAGTACAAATGACGTGTTTGCTTGTCTGCCTGAAACTAACCTGACATAAATATTATTAGCTCAAAAGTGTTGAACTTGACCAAGGACAAATAAAGTGGAGGATGTCCCAATCAATGTTACTTGCTTCATGTAATTCGGTAGCACAGCTGCCTGTAGCAATGGACAAGCATACTGGTCACAGTGTACATACAAGAACTCAAGCTGAGGCAGGCTTAATTTACACTCTAGTTTAAATTTGGTGTAAAATGCATCAGTATTTCCAGAATCAGCAGGTTTATGATTTAAATGTAAATATTTCAAACATTTAAATTCAATAAACAATTGCTCACTATCAGATATAAATGCTTTCCATGTGTGGCTGTAGCAAGCACCATTAAGTTTCAAGCTAACAAGTGAATCAACAGATTCTTGAGGAAAGAAATAACAGAGGTTATTGCTGCTGCAGATATCAATACTACTTATACATAATAGCTTACCTTCATTTAGAAAGCTGATATGAGTTTTACTGTGAAGACATGATAGTGCAGGTCCATAATTTCTGACCTACTGGTTATGTATAGCATGTGTCACATCATCAAAATTGCTACTTGGAAAGCTGATATTCTTTATGTGTGGTAACAAATGATATATTTCTGAGGGTATATCTCCTGTATCAGATACAGAGCTTATTACAGGGGCATTGTGCTGAATATTTATTCTAGTCTTTTTGTAAGTGGCAAAGATTAGAGATGTAGCTTTTGGCCACATAGACACACAGCTCTTTAAACTATCAACAACTTTTCTAAGACCAATAAACATATTCTTCTCATAACATACACCAATTATAACCTGCTTAGCCAAGTGTTGAACATTGCAAAATGATGCAAGATTTATATTTGTTATAGTATTGATGTTATCTGTCTCCCTTATGTTCTTGTATTGTCTTATCATCTTGCTAGTACCATCCCATGTGCCATACTGTATAATAATTGTCCTGTATATTATTGGCAATCCCAATAATCGCCATCTAACATCAACAGAAAGCAATACTAGGTTTTGCTTAAAGACACTATACTCACAAGCTAAATGAATCTGGGCATATAGGATGATTACAATAATAATATCATCAGGCAGTCTGTTAATATGCATTGCCAACATAAACAAAATAGTTTAAACCAAAAAAATACTATAGAGTACAGAAAAAGCCCTCTTCAAATTTTCTTATGGATGCCGCTATAAACCAGGAAAAGCACAAAAGGTAAACAGGTATCTTTATAGTTGCAGGACTTTGTCGTTAAATTCTTGGCCTTTTTATTACACAAATGGCAGTCATGTGAATATCAGCACACAGAGAGAAGCAATTCAGAAACAAAGAAAGACGCTTTGGTCTAGTTGTTTTGTCGCAATGGTGTAGTGGTTATCACGCCTGCTTTACACGCAGTTGGTCCTCGGTTCGATCCCGAGTTGTGACATATTTTTTACT